ATCGCGTGGACGAGCTTGAGGTCCTCTCCGGACATGATTGTGTGGTCGTGCTTCCGGGGTTTGATGATCCGGGAGACGATGTAGAGGACGAGGCGGCCTTCGGGGGTAGTGGAGTGGATGGTTGGGCGGCCCGAGGCATGGCGGATGAGCTCGGTGATGCCAAGCTCGTTGAGGATAAGGCCCTCGTTGTTGAGCACCCAGTCCTCTCCGCCATAGTGGGATACATCGTCGCCTTGGAAGGGGAGGTCGGCGATGCGCCCAAGCTGCTCCACGGTGAGCTCAATCGGCGTGCTCTTGACAAGCGAGTAGAGCACGTCGTCCTCACGCCGGAGGTTGGAGTAGAAGGCCCGGATCAGCGCCGGGTTGATCTCCTTTCGAGCCCGGGAGACGAACGGCCAAAGGCCGGCTTGATGAAGCTGTGCGTCAAGGTCGTCGTAGCCCTGCAGCTCTGGGTAGCGCTCCGGGATGATCCGTGGTGGAGCCACAACCCGTTTAGAGAAGAAAGTGAGAAAGCGGGTGCGCTCCTCCTCGGAATCGAACCAGAGGTACGACCCATCGCCGTAGTAGAGGCGTTCCTCGGAGGATGACGTAGGCGCCCGGGATTTGGCTTTGGATTTGCCGGAAGCTCCTGCTCTGTTCTTATCTTTGCCCATGATGAAGGAAAATTGTAAGGAGAATGAAATATGCAAGAAGTAGGGAGAAAATTTGTGTTTGTGTGTGTAAAATTGAGGAGAGGAGGCTCCAATTTATAGGGAATAAGGCCTCCAACGTCCAGAATTTCAAAAAATATGGCTGTTGGAGCAATAAATGCAGGTGCAACGGATATTTTTTTTAAAAAAATTTGACTAGAACAGCGATGTTCTATAGGCGACATCGCTGTTGGGACAGCGCTGTTCTGCGTCAAGTTTTAAAAAAGATGGGTCAAATGGACAGCGATGTTGGATACCCTACAGCGATGTTCCAAAAGTTTCTGGAATTGTGGAAGGGTTTGAACCCATTAGAACAGCGCTGTTGGGTTTCCCTACATCGCTGTTGCTCAAAGGACATTGCTGTTGAAAAACTTTCAGGTTTCATAAATTAAAAGGTGTTTTGAAAGACAGCGATGTTGAAAGAGGGACAGCGCTGTAGAAAGAGTTTCTGGAAAGAGTAAGAGAAGGGAACTCCCTGGGACAGCGATGTTGGCTTGTTGTACAGCGCTGTTGGAAAACTTTCTGGCTGACGGTGTTTCCCTCAACAGCGCTGTTGTGTCTCCTGGACAGCGCTGTTTGCATGGTTCCCCCTGATTTCATGGACGGGGTACCTGCAAAAAAGAAAAAGTTCTCCGACGCTCAAGTTAGTAAACGTTTAATAAATTTAGATGCACAACTTAGATCATCGTGGAGTCAAGGATTCCGAGTTCACTTCGAATGCGGAAGAATGACTCTTTCTCTAAAGGTTTTGTGAAAATGTCGGCTAATTGGTTGTGTGTTTCAACAAACTCAATTTCGACATCACTTTTGAGAACATGATCTCTAAGGAAATGATGCCTAATGTCAATGTGTTTCGTCCTTGAGTGAAGAACGGGGTTCTTCGTCAAGCTTATGGCGCTAGTATTATCACAACGAAGAGGGACGTGATTGATACTAAGGCCATAGTCCACAAGTTGTTGCTTCATCCAAAGGATTTGAGCACAACAACTACCGGCGGCTACATATTCCGCTTCGGTTGTGGATAACGCAACACTGACTTGTTTCTTACTAAACCATGAGACTAGAGAGCTACCAAGTAAGTGGCAAGTCCCACTCGTACTTTTACGGTCTAATTTGCAACCGGCAAAGTCCGATTCGGAATAACCGACGAGATGACAAGAAGAGCCTTTTGGATACCACAGTCCTACGTTAACCATGCCGACAAGGTATTTCATGATCCGTTTCACCGTGGTTAAGTGCGATTCCTTCGGACATGATTGGTACCTCGCGCAAAGGCATACGCTAAACATGATATCCGGCCTACTAGTGGTAAGATAGAGAAGGGATCCGATCATACCTCGATACTTTTTGACCTCTACTTCCTTACCTTTCTCGTCTTTGTCAAGATGGTCAGACGTGCTCATTGGGGTCGCCATGGCTTTAGCGTTGTCCATTTCAAACCGCTTTAGGAGCTCCTTGCAATATTTAGCTTGGCAAATGAACGTGTCATCTTTCATTTGCTTGACTTGGAGTCCCAAAAAGAATGTGAGCTCGCCCATCATTGACATTTAAAATTCGCTAGTCATTAGTGTTGAGAATTCCTTGCACAAAGACTCATTAGTAGCACCGAATATGATATCGTCTACATAAACTTGAACCAAAAGGATGCTATTGTTTTTACTCTTGATAAAAAGTGTAGTGTCAACCTTTCCCCTTTGGAAACCACTATCCAAAAGAAATTTACTCAAACGTTCGTACCAAGCACGGGGTGCTTGTTTAAGACCGTAGAGCGCTTTCTTGAGTTTGAAGACATGGTCGGGAAACTCAAAGTCTTCAAACCCCGGGGGCTGGTCAACATACACTTCCTCATGAATAAAACCATTGAGGAAGGCACTCTTAACATCCATTTGATAAAGTTTAAAATCCATAGATGAAGCAAAAGCAAGAAGTAAACGAATAGCTTCTAAACGTGCTACGGGTGCATAAGTTTCTTCGAAATCAATGCCTTCTTCTTGATTGTAGCCTTTAGCTACGAGCCTAGCTTTGTTTCTAGTGATTATTCCATTTTCATCAAGTTTGTTACGGAACACCCATTTCGTACCAATAACCGTACGATCATCGGGTCTTGGCACCAATTCCCAAACATCATTCCGTTTGAAT